CACCCCCCCCCCCCCCCGCCTCCACAAAACCTTACATATGATACAGGCACATTCATAAAAAAGCTGGGATTAGTTGCAGCTCCCTGCTGAGCACAGACTCAGTGGCAATTCTAGATACGCTGGTGTGCGGTTTGTGAAACAGCCGACCCTCTGAGGCAAGCTTCACCTGCTGAATTTCTACCCGCACAGGGAGGGACTCCCAGAGGAAGAGCAGCTCGGAACGCCTGTTATGAGGAGGAAGGGGGCACATACTCTCGCTCTGGAGGATCTCGCGGCGCAGTCCCGCCACGTACTGGATCAGCTCCTCCAGACTCCGCTCGCACAGCTGCCCGTAGCCCGAGAACTTCTGAAGCACCTTCTCCAGCTCGCGCTCCACCGTCACGCACTGGTCCATTGTCCTTCCCTGTGGCGCCCGCCTGTCCGCCCGCCGACCAAGCAAGACCGTGCGGCTCGGCCAGAGGACATCCAACGGAGGACTTCCACGAAAAGGAACGAAGGAGCCAAGCCAGGCAGGTTGGCGAGTTGTTGTTTTTGCAGGCAGCGCGGCGGACAACTGGGGTCCTCCGGCGAAGTACTGGAGATGCGTCACAGGCAGTGCTGTAAACAGCCTGGAGGTCCTCAAGGGAAACCTGGGAGCTTAACGCTAAAAATAGAAAATGATCCGAACAACTCACACCTTTGCAAGAAATCGAAGATGACCGTTGCGGATCCTTAGATGGTCGTTGTCTCCCGCTCACCCCTTTCAAGCTGACATCTGCTCATGACATAATTGGAGAATCCTACAGAAATGCTGCTGCGTAAACAGCAGCTACCAACTCAGACAAACCAGTTCCATGGTAGCAGTAAAATGACGGGGTTTTTTTTTTTTCAAGTAGGGCCTTTTTTCACTGAAAGCGTGATGTTTCGAATTAAGTTTCAAATATTAAAAAAGCGTTTTCTCCGCTTTCTTTTATGGACAACGTTTCATCCTTGGGAGACAAAAACAAGTTCCAACGTAGTGAAGGTGTGTGTGTCTGTCGAAGTTGAGTATTTTTCACAAAGCCCGGTCCGCATTCAAGCCAGGCAACAGTTTAGACACCTAAGACCGATCTCGCTCAAGCAGGAATTGAGAGCGTCTGAAGGACTCCGAGACTCTTGAAGAAGCGGCTGTTTTTACAGGAGCGCAGTTTTGACGGGCTGTTTGTGAGAGAATTCTCCAAGAAGAGAAGTTTCCCTCTGTGAGGCTCTAACGGGAGGTGGATCTGTTTACGGGATGCCGCTAATAAGCCGTGGCGAAAACGGAAGTGATTTTTTGAGGTCTTTTTCCTCTCCTTGAACTTCCGTCGCGGGTTGATCACCTCAAGGCCACACGGCGGGATTGTGTTTGTTTGTTTTCCTTCCTCCTGAGCTGAGTCTGGAGCCTTCAATAGGGGATTCGTCAAACTTTGTTTTTGCAGCTGACTTCCTACTTCGCTATTGTTGGGAGTCTTTTTTTTTCCTTCAGCGATCCATAGCATAAATTTACGAAGTAATGTTCTTCTCATCCTCATTGTTACACTTTTCCTAACTGTATTTAGTTGTTACCTTTACTTTTCCGCCAAGAAATGATGCTTATAATGGCTGTTAATTCCTTTTTGTCAAATTTTATTTTTCCTCGCCCCTCCTTTAGTGCAGGCCATACATATTCTGGTGTTTTACAAAATGAGCAAAAGATAAGAGTCCTTCATCATAGGGACCCACAAGCCAGATGAGTGCACATTGAGATAAACTTTGTTTTAACCATGTCTTTAAATAACCCCCAACTGGCCAGGTTCACATGCTGAGTTGTAAACCATGATTTACAAACCATAATGGCTGAGTTCATGCACCCTACTAAGCCAAACTGCAGTGTACCTTACTGCAATATGAGATCCTAGGCTGTTTAATTTATTAAACTTGTATGCTACCCAACTCTCAACAATTCTGGGCAGCTCACAACAGTCAAAGATATTACTATAAAATCAATAAAAGATGGCAAGCACAACAGACCAAATGAAGCAAGGGGTCTCACATTCCCTTGTCAAAGGCCTGGGTGAAGAGCCAGGACTTCACTGCTCTTCTAAACAATAGCAGAGCAGGAGTCCTGGAACCTCATTCCGGAGGGCAGGTGCTGCCACAGAAATGAGGCCTCCCAGGGTCCCAAAGGAACCTGGAGTGTACCAATGCTGCAAGGTTGAAGTGATTGGGCAGATATTAGGACTATTGCTACTAGTTTAGGACTACAATTCTAAAAATGTTTTTCTAAGGTCCTATTTACATCAGCATAAAGTACTCCATAGAATTGCAACTTCATAGTACGATCTTATCCAAATATCTACTCAGTTGTAAATTCCACTGAATTCTTAAGAATTTACTTACTAGAAATAGGATAAAGGATAGCCAAATACACTGGTAAATGAGCTATTATTGTATCTACATTCACAGTTAAACACATAGTTATCTACACAGAATATGATTTTGCTTTGAAAAAGGCAGATTTTTTTACTAGAATTCTATTAACTTGGATCAAAATTTGTAGTTTAAGTTCCTGGAATAATGAATGAAAATAGGTACAAGTAGTCCTCATTTAACAATGGCAACTGAAACCAGAATTTCCACCACTAAGCAATGCAGTCATAAAGTATGTCATGTGACCACGCTGCTTAGCAATGGCAGTTCTGGCAGTCCCGTTACCATCATTAAGCAAGGACCACGTGGGTTGTTAAGCAAGGACCTCATGTAACCAGGACTGCCAACTTCCTGCCAGCTTCCCCATTGACTTTGCTTAAGGGAAGCTGGCAGGGAAGGTCATGAATCACAATTATGTGACCATGGGACGCTGCAATGGTTGGAAATCTGGGCCAGTTGCTGAGCACCCAACAGTCAGAACTCTGAGGACCAGTCATAGTACCACTTGTTCAGCGCCGTTGCAAGTTCAGTTGCTGAACGAGTAGTTGTTAACCAAGGACGATCTGTAATTAATTACTGCCATGGTTTAACGATGCTTTATACCAGAATTAACTGGTTTCCCAATACACTGTAGTAGCAGAGTTCATACAATATGTTAAATAAACCAAGCAATGACACTATGTTATGTGGGCCAGGTCATAATGAAAGAAAATTAATAGAGAATAAACTTGGAGTATTTTGTGAAGTGATGACTGAACAAAATACTATTTAATAAAAAAAAAAATAGTGAAATCCCACAAGTTTTCTGTGTCCTTGCATAAAATATCAGTTTTAACATTCTGACTTGCAAGTTCATTTATTTTCCATTTTTATGATTATGCACCTATGATATTGTGGAAAATTACATGACAATGACCACTGCTCGAAAAAGCTGCTGATTCCTGCCTTGCATGATGTTGCTTCACCTGCTCTTCCCGGATCTGCAGTAGTCACAGGGAGAATTGTCATTCACTTTTAAGGTGAGTCTGCTTCAAAATGAAGCCCAAGAAACACTAGTTGTTTGAAGACAGACACTTTAAGCAATTGGCTCATTTGTAATTCTTGCTTTTTTTTTCCAGTTGCATTGGTGGCCAAAGCAGTAGCAGTGAGAATTATGTTAACTTCCTGTTATCCCATCTTATTTGCAAGATGTATATGCTTCTTATGAACCACTAATGGCTATGTTCATACTAGATGGCCATGGTTAACTTTTTAGTTTTCTAAATTAATGCTGCTGGCTTAGTTCACATAACACATTGAACCATAAACCAACCTCATAAATTGGATTTGTATAGTACATTAGGTTATATTGGCTAGTTTGCAGCTCAGTGTGTTTTGTGAATGCAACCCTAGAGAAACCCCTTCATCTTTCTAATCATTGTTTATCACCTGACTTCCCTCCAGGGTAATAGGTGACAAAACCTAACAGATTTTATGTATCCTGAGGCTGCTGTGGGTAATGCCCAGTTAGACATTAAGGCCTTTCCCTATTTGCAGCTGGTCAGAGCATAACCATGCCCTGGCAATATCTTTTCTGCTCTCTGTAATGTTGCCTTCATCTTGTCTCCACACCACAAGCTAACACATACATTGTCCTTAATTTGTGTTAAAATAACATTTTCTCTTAGTGGATGTCGTGGAGACATGGCAGAAAACTCTTGTCAGAGTATGGTTATGTCAACCACTGTGGCTTCATTGATTGTGGCTTACTACAAACTCAGCCACTGTAGTATGTAGATCCTGGTTCTGGATACCTTGCTCACTTCTGTTGCTAGACATTGTATTACACCATGATCTTATGTTATATAGCATGATTGACTTACAAGAATATCCCTTTAGATTTCCAAGGGGAGGAAGGAAGAGATCGGTATATACACACTCCTATTGTTTCTTCTTGGGAAACATGACTTTAATGTTAATGAACATCAGCCCCGAGACTGCCTTGCAGATTTTCGTTTGAGAATGAACTAGAGCTCCAAATCTAAACGCATTTAGTAGGGTACAACTGTCGACTAAACCGAGTTTCGAGTCAGGACTGCAGAACCGAAGCAACTGCGACGCGCAGGGCCGGCTGCTCCGTCGCCCCTCTTAGCTCCCGCTGCTTTCTCCGCCGGCAGAAAACGTGTGCGGAAAGGAGATAGCTACAGTACTTGTCTCTTGCAATCGCCGCGGGCAGATTAAAAGGCAAGCGGCCAGTTTGGGGCCTGAGCTAAACGGACGAAGATGAGTGCTTCCAACCCGGCCGACCGCCAGGCTTTCTAGGTAAACAAACCCCTGTGGGAAGCAACGCCCAGGTTGGTCACCGCGGGGGGAGGGGAGCCGTAGTTGGTCGCCCGGGAAGGAAGAAGCGCTCGGCTGGCCAAAGTCTCTCCAGCCTTTCCGGCTCTCTGGATCCACATCCCTCCCCTTCCCCCTCCCTTTGCGGCCGTCCGCGGCTGTAGACGTCACTTGTTATGTCTCCT